TGGGTCCCCCCTCGGGCCCGGACTTTCTTCCCGAGTGTCGCTCTCGGCCTCCGTGCGTTGAATCCTGCGACTGCTCCTCGGGGGCACCCTTCATCCTTCTCCTGGCTTTCCCTCTCGCTCTTTTAACAAATTATCGATGTACTTACTTTTTTGAGTTGGAGTCTCACGCTGCCGCCCAGGCCGGAGTGCTCTGGCCTGCTCCCAGCCGCCACAGCCGCCACCCGCTGGGCTCAGATGATCCTCCCACCTCAGCTTCCCAAGTAGCTGGAACTCCAGGCGTGCACCACTCTATCCAACTAAGTTCTCTGATTGTAGAGATGAGGTCTCACCAAGTTGCCCAGGCTGGTCTCAAGCCCCTGGGCTCAGGCATTCCTCTCACCTCGGCCTCCCAAAGTGCTGGGATTGTAGGCATGAGCCCCTGCGCCTCACCTGTTTGTTTATTTTTTGAGTGGGCATCTCCCTCTGTCGCCCGGCTGGAGGGCAGTGGCACATTCACAGCCACCGCAGCCTTGACCTGCTGGGCTCAGGCGATCCTTCCGCCTCAGCCTTCCAAGTAGCTGGAACTACCGGGGTGCGCTACTACACCCAGCTAATTTTTTCATATATTGTAGAGTCGAGGTCTCACCAAGTTGCCCAGGCTGATCTTGAACCCCTGGGCTCAGGCAGTCTTCTCACCTCGGCTTCCCAAAGTGCTGGGATTAGAGGCTTGAGCCACCACGCCCAAATGGCCTTTGCACTTTTAATCCTGCTATTCCTTCCTCCGGGGAGAAACCTTCCTCATTCTTCTCCTGGCTTACTCTCTCGCTCTTTTTAAAATTGATTGATGGATTAGGAGTCTCACTCTGTGGCCCAGGTTGAAGTGCAGTTGCACGATCACAACTCACCGCAGTTGAGAACTCTTGGGCTCAAGTAATTCTCCTGCCTCAGCCTCCTGAGTACCTGGGAATACAGGCTAATTTTTCTATTGTTTGTGTAGTCAGGGTCTCCCTTTCTTGTCCAGACTGGTCCTGAACTCCGAGCCTCGGGCAGTCCTCCTGCCTCAGCCTCCCAAAGTGCTGGGATGACAGGCATGAGCCACTGGAACCCAGCCTAGTTTTTCAATTTTTTGATTCTTATGGGTGCATAACAGTTGTACATATTGATGGGGTACATGTGATGTCTTGATACAGGCATACGGTGTGTAATGATCAGGTCAGGGTAATTGGCATATCCATTATCTCAGGCATTTATAATTTCTTTGTTAGGACATTCCAATTCCACTCTTTTAGGGTTTGTTGGTTGGTTTGTTTTTGAGTGGGAGTCTCACTCTATTGCCCAGGTTGGAGGGTAGTGGCACAATCATGGCTACCATAGCCTCGATCAGCTAGGTTCAGGTGATCCTTCTGCCTCAGTTTTCCAAGTAGCTGGAACTACATGCCATCACACCCGGCTAATTTTTTAAAATTTTATTGTAGAGACAAGATCTCCCCAGGTTGCCTGGGCTGGTCTCGAACCCCTAGGCTCAGGCAATCCTCTCACCTCAGCCTCCCAAAGTACTGGGATTATAGGCTGGAGCCACTGTGCCTAGCTAAAAATAAAGATTTAAAAAATAAATAAGGGCCGTGTGTGGTGGCTCACGCCTGTAATACCAGCACTTTGGGAGGCCGAGGTGAGAGGATTGCCTGTGCCCATGGGTTTGAGACCAGCCTGGGCAACTTGGTGAGACCTCGCCTCTAAAATAAATGAAAAAATTATGACCGGGCGAGGTAGGGCGCGCCTGTGGCTGCAGCTCATTTTCTGCCCGAATTGAACCCGAGACCTCATTCTCTGCGGAATTGTGCTTGTCCCACAACCTTTTCCCCTCCCCCTCCCTGGACTCCGGGAACCATCATCCTACCCCTTGTCTCCATCTGGCTTCCTCTTATTTTTTTTATTTTTATTCTTATTATTTTTCTGAGTTGGAGTCTCACTCTGTCGCCCAGACTGGAGTGCAGTGGCCACTCCCAGCCACCGCGGCTCGACCTGCTGGGCTCCGGCGATCCTTTTGTCTCAGCCTTCCAAGTAGCCGGAACTCG